TCTGTAGAATGGTAGACTGATTGCTAGGGATAAATATATGGCTTAATCTGGAACATGGATCTTCCACCTAATTCTGTCAATGTCATACAAATTTCACTTAGTTCAATACACCCACAACACCTCACAAAATACTTTAATTTTGATTCAAAGAAACTGCATTCGCTCATTCAAGACTACTTTTGTACCCTAAAATGTATCTCCTTTTCTATAAGGAGAAAGAAACAGAACCGTACGTCTTCATATATCAGGTGTTTACAAAGGAAATGCATCTTTTTGCATTACCTAACCAAATATTAGGAAGAAAGTTTTACAGGAGTGATGCAAGGAAATAGTCGTATTTTCAGGTGTTTTTTGCTCTACAAGGCTGTGATACCACTGGAGGGAAGAACAGAGCAAGCAGTGGCAGCCAGGTCGTTGGGAGGACTGAGACAGGGCTCTGCCCACTCCTTGCCAAACCATGGAGAAGCACCAGCCGGACATTTTGCTGGCTTCTCCACTGCCCTAACAACCCCAATAGTTCACATCAGAGGGGAGAGTGAATGGAATGGAGAGAAGTAACTTAAACCCATTACCATTTTGGCAATTAAAATGCCGATGTACGGAACAGAACTAGAAGGATCTAGAGCGAAAGTGTAGACACTCTATAAGGAACTGACAACACCTAGAAAACATTGTGCCAAAGTAAAAGCAAGTGGTCACTCCTGCCAGCTTTTCTCTAAGCACCTACATGACTTCCTTCTGAAATGTTGTCTCACGTAAAATCCTGCACTAATAATATTCTGCTTTCTTTAAAAGTATATACAAATGATCAGTGCTCACAGTGAATAGGTTGGCACGTGCACATAACATTGTTTCTGAATACTAAGGTAATACGAAGGAAGAGTAAACACTTGTACTTTTTCTGTACATCATACAACGGCCAGCTGTTTTCAAACCCAATGATATTATTACTAACATTATTAACACTGAACACCCTCACTGCACAACTACATTTAAGCCTGATTTGAATAACCAAACTAGCTAACAGTCCTCTTATCTGACAATGCTCCCATTAAATGTGGTCTGCCTGCAACCCAATGAAAGGAGAGCAAGCTCAGGTGAGAAGTATGAAGAGCTAACCAATACTCAAAGAACATGGAAAAACTTAAGACACATATTTAGGTATGTGTTTTGACATATTAGAACAAGAATCACTGAAAGTTACGTGCCTCATTAGCCACTAGGATGTACCAGCTATTGCCAGTTAATTTTGTAAGTGTACTGGAATCATCTCTTGGTAAACCTAGGATGCCTACTAACTCGCGCTACAAGGAATCAGTGTTTTGAGATGTCCTTTATTATTTTAAACAACGAGAGAACATATTAAGTTCTGTTATATATTTTTTAAACAGTCCTTAAAATATATTTGGTACTTCCTTGAAAAGGTCAAGAACAGCTTCAAAGTATTACATTATCTAGACTCCATTTTTAAAATATTTAGCTAGAAGCAACAGTTGCAAGGGACCTCTTAAGGAACTAATACATTCCCCTACAGCCACAAGCAACCACATCACATAAATCCTTTCCTAAACTTATCAAATTTAACCTTTAAAATTTTATTGGGTTATTTTTCCTTCCAATAAGTCACATGAAAAAATTTCCCAAGGCTTTACTCTACTGATTGCAAAAATCTTTTTACAAGTCAAGAGCATTTATTGCCAAGTTACACCCATGTGGTCTTATGTATTCACTGTCCTCTAGTTTGAAGGTTATTCTTATTGTTTAAAATTACTGTACTTCTAGATACCAATTCTGTACTTCTAGATATCAATTATAATTGCTCTAGCTTTTGTCCCCCTAATCTCTCTAGTCTTCTCTCATATGAGCAGCTCTCCGTTTCTCTGATCGTCTTCCGTATGACTTTCTTTGTTCCTATCACAGTTTGTATTTGTCAAAAATGGGTAACACACAGTAGACAACATTGCAGGTGAGGCCTCATTAATACTAATTCTCCAACTCTACAGGAAATACCTTGAATCTAGGATAACATTTGACTTTTCCTGGGCTTGGCACTTTGATAATTCACACTTCATCATCCTTTCCATCTGATGCACCCCTAACTTGTAGGAACTTGGTGCACGTGTTTTAATATTAATATAACTTACTGTGGTAAAAATTCACACGGAGATACCAAGACTCATATAAACATGTTTAAAAAGTCTTTACTAACATTAAACTCAACAGATAAAGAAGGGTATGTCCCTATTGCCTGTCGGAAAAGGACCCGGGGGTGCTGGTTGACAGCCGGCTGAACATGAGCCGGCAGTGTACCCAGGCGGCCAAGAAGGCCAATGGCATCCTGGCCTGTATCAGAACTAGTGTGGCCAGCAGGAGTAGGGAAGTGATCGTGCCCCTGTACTCGGCACCTCGAATACTGTGTTCAGTTTTGGGCCCCTCACTACAAGAAGGACGTTGAGGTGCTGGAGCGTGTCCAGAGAAGGGCAACGAGGCTGGTGAAGGGTCTGGAGAACAAGATTTATGAGGAGCGGCTGAGGGAACTGGGGTTGTTTAGCCTGGAGAAAAGGAGGCTGAGGGGAGACCTCATCGCTCTCTACAACTACCTGAAAGGAGGTTGTAGCGAGGTGGGTGTCGGTCTCTTCTCCCAAGTAACTGGCGATAGGACGAGAGGAAATGGCCTCAAGTTGTGCCAGGGGAGGTTTAGATTGGACGTGAGGAAAAATGTCTTTACTGAAAGAGTGGTTAAACATTGGAAGAGGCTGCCCAGGGAAGTGGTTGAGTCACCATTCCTGGAAGTATTTAAAAGACGTGTAGATGAGGTGCTTAGCGACATGGTTTAGTGGGCATGGTGTTGTTGGGTTGACGGTTGGACTCGATGATCTTAGAGGTCTTTTCCAACCTTAATGATTCTATGATTCTATTATGTAGATTAGTCAGGAATGTTGAGCCACTGAAAATAATTAACAAATAATATTTTTCTCATGTTGCTTTATACAAATTATACCAATTGTTCTGCTTATAAAAGGTGCTATTTGCTAGGTATGTATTAATGTTTTGGAATTAATTCATTCTATATATTCCATTAGCTTTCAGAGACAGGCACTGCTAAAGCAATTGTACTTTATAAAAAAGTTCCCCATGTTCCTCACACAACCAGGACTAATTATTGGGTACTTTCCCTCTGACTCCCTTAACTTTTCAGCTGTCAAAGAGATGTAGCTCAGCTTCGTCTTCTACATCACAAGGTATAGAAGATACTTTCACGTATATTATTAGGGCGTTTTCTTAGCATGTGGAAGCTTGCAGTTCAACACAACAAAACCTAAACCAAGGCAAGTGCAAACAATAAGATTATATTTAATTGAACTTAGGACAATCCAAATGAGTCAGGCATGTCTTCAGGACACGTCTTCAGAGCACTTTAGTGCAGTGGAGTCTATTTTCTGGATCCCAAATGATATTTTTCAAAGATGAACATCTAAGCTGTCACCTCATCAAAGACACAATCTCTACTGCATGCGAATGCTATCACAATTTCAGTTATCTAGCAAAGTTTTTGTTCCAAACTGAAGTGTTACAGATACCTCAAGCATATAAGCAGGTCAGGTGAGGTTCACCTGGATTGCTCTCCAAAACCCAGGTGGCTAAATTGTACCTAACTAGCACCTTTGGCACTTAAGAGCTCTGCTGTTTTCTGGCCCTAAAGAAGACTCTGCTGCAAGTGCACTAGCCTTTTAATACACCCCAGCGGATGCATCAGTGATGCACTGCTTTAGTAAGAAATCAGTATCAAGCTGAAACTTCTCTCGCTCTATCCTAAGTTGATTGAGATGAATAGAATGGAAAAGATCTGGAAGTCCTGGATTATTTCAGCACTTTGTTCAGAGTACCACGCAGAAAACAGTGGAATGAAGCTGTAGCAAGTCATATGTCATAGCCATTAGAAAAACAACCATGCTTTCAGAACGCTACTGCCTTAAAAAAAAAACTACTGCAATATGCAGGTGTGGTAGAAATAATTTCCTCTGGGTGTTGCACAGTGCTAAATTGCAGGTTACAGCTATGCTATGATGTAAGTTGGGGCATACCGCCACTTCATAATACAAGCATTAACACCATCATCCACACGTCAAAAACTATATTGGATTGTAATGACTTTACACTCATTTCAGCTGAAGTGCCAGCAAAGCTGTCTAATTCCCGCTACCTAAGTCTCCAAGTTAAAATCTGGAATACCACCTTTTGCAGACCTGCCTGAGAAGAGGCGGTAAATGGACATGCACTGTTCTGCTCAAGCACTGCCACCCCTTCCTCCGTGCACAGGGCGCAGAGATGAACGGGGAGCTACCCTCATCTATTTCAGATGAGGCACAGGCATTAGCGGTGAATATGCCTGATCCTAAAAGTTTTGTTGATTTTTGAAATGGTAAATATGCATTCACAAAGGATTCACTCCATCTTGCTCACTATACTTATATCCAGTATTAAGCGGTTATACTTTGCCTATGCATATTATTCCAAATGTAAATCAAAAAGTTGATTTCACAAGAATTCCCTGAATTTCTGCTGTAGCCAGAAATGCAACACAGCAAACCATGTAAATCAATGTAAAATTGCTATTAAAATACTAAATTAGATTTCCCGAAGCTAATGGAAGGGCCTTGCATGCAAAAAGTCAAATTGTTAACCAAAGACATTTTTATGAAATAAAGCTTTATTACACTTTATTACCTCCTCTACTTTTTAGCCTGTTACTAATTCTCAGTTCTTAATTGATTTCTATATTGTCCTAATTTTGACAACAGTCTTGGGTTTCCTTGCTGGGCTATCTTTAAAGCATATGTTCAGCTACGGGATGGGCAGGGCCTGGGTGTTAGGATTCCTGTTCTTCCCCCCTCCCCTTTGGATGATTTTAAAATTTCAGGTCAATTTTTTACATTAATATGTTTCCCAGTTAACTAACAACATTATAATAATAAATGATAAAAAGCATGGATTCTAACCACTTTGTCCTCCTTTGGGAAAGCATCCAAGGAAGCAGAATAAAAAGAGAAAAGAAAAAAAGAAGAGAAAAAGAACAAAATAGCAAGTATTAATAGACAGATTTCAAAGAAATGCAATTCTATAACTCTCTACAAAGAGATAAAAACATAAAATGTCAAAAAAAAGCTTTAAATAAAAAGATTACATTTCTGCATATGTAGAAAACATGTTTTCCCACCCTAACCCACAGAACCATAAACAATATAACAAACAAAAGGCAAGTTACAAATGAATGGACACTTTTCCATTTCTGTGACTTGAAACAGTGGGTGAAAAATAATTAAAATAGATTCAATTTTTTTCTGAGTAAAGATAAGCTGTATCATATACACTCTAATTAATAGTATAATGTAACATATCAAAGAAAACTATTTTCATAGACTTGCTCTAATGACACCACCTGCAGGTGATGCAATGTAATGCACCTATTTATATTAAGGTATGAATATATGAAAAATTTTGTCCAATACACCTACATAATTTTTTTCAGAATGTGAATTTAATTTAATGGACTAACAAGTACATCACGGCTACGGAAAACTTCAAAAATAAAGATGAAATGCATTTTTTTCTGAGGGGTTTTTTTGGTTTAGTTGATGTTTAGCTCAAAGAAAGTGAAAAGGCTGTGAACTAGTTCCGTTGTGAACACGATTATCCACTATAAAATTCGTGACCACTTTTAACTGAATTTGTATTGATACAAAGAGCATCAGTGCATTTCCCCTACAAAAGACTGGCACCTTAAAGCCATATGAGAAAGTTATCTCATCTCATAATAGATAACAAAACTATTCCTGCAATAAAAGGATATTTGTAAAATGTTTTATAGGATACCATAGTCCTAGATGATCAGCCAAAAATAATCACTGGATAATGGTCTTCCAAATATAGATCCTACCACTCATGTACAAGTGAGTAGCCAGTTCCCTGTAAGGGCTGACTGAACAGAGGGTATTCTCAGATACCCTTCAGTTTTGTGGACAGCTTCTGCAGCTAACTGCACACGGATCAGAGGGAGAAAGATTTATCTCACCTGCCTGAAAGTAGGATACCTCATCCAGATTAATCTATAGTTTCACTTTTTAAATAATTTAAAATAAATTGACATAAAACTCTCACTGTGGTAAGAAAAGTGGTTGGGGGTTTTTTCTAACCAAAAAGTTGACTGATTTTATGTAAGAGAAATCTAAAAATGTATATGAAAAGCTCTATAAAAAAAGAAATCTAAAATGAAATGTGTTCAATAAAAAATTATCAATGTGGAGTTGTACCTGAGCAAAAGGGTTTCTTCTTTCATTCTATGAAAAACAAGTATGTTTTCTTCAAGCCATCACTCAGTAGAACTATACACTATGGGGTTTTTTTTATTTAACTCTGTGAATCCTAAGTATCTCCACAATCATTAAATACATTATTCTTCTTTATCAACACCTCATAACGAAGTGATGAATGAAACACTTAGTAAAATGAAGCATGAAATGCCATACTTAAGGTGAACAATCTGCAGCATGACAATGTCAAGGAGGCTTTTTCTTAAGAGTACACATCAGAAGACTTACATTGTTTGATCGCAGAGAGACACGACCTCCACATCGAGCACAAAACTTGGTCCGGCAATAAGAGCATAAATGGCCACAACCATCTGCAAACTTTGTTTTATGACAGATTCCACATGTTGGAGCATCATCCTTGTGCTCTCCCTGGTAACGGCGGGCTTCTTCCCCTATCTTTCTTACTTGCTCTTTATAGCTTTCAAATTGTTGATGCAACCTCCTGCATAGATGAGAAAAAAGTTTATATAGCAAGAATAGGAGGAAATATTACTACTGTGTATTTCTTTCTTTCAATTTATAACTCTACCTAGTATTCTTGGCATGTTCACAATAATAAATGTACCTCATGTCAAATACACACTGCACATGGAAAACTGTATAGCAGAATCTAAAGGAAAAAAATAACAGACGTATTCCCATTAGGTTTACTTCAAAGCTTGTAAGCAAATCATTTCACTTCACCAGAAATTGATCCAAATATAAAAAGATGGCAAAAAATGCATAGTCTTAAACAGAAGTATCTACCACGTACAAAGTAAAAGCAGAAATATAAGTGCCTGAGCAAATTTGCATTGCTTTTTAATCATTACTTATACAGCAGGTGCAATTAAAAAAAAAATCCATCTTCAGTTACAGTGTCACACTTCTGTTTTCAAAATCAAAATTCCAAACACATATAACTTAAAGATTACAACAGGCGCTCTACAATCACACTGGCCCTACAAGAATCTGAGAACAATTTTCCATGTCAAATCTATGTATTAACAATCTGTAGTATTCTCTCTTGTTAAGTGTGAGGTAAGGTTTGCTGTTGCTCATTACAGACATTTCTTCCTGCTTAGCTGTAGGAGTATATAGGAGTATTAGCAGGTATATAGATGAAGATGAAGACTGGCCTTCAAAGAAGTAGCACTTGTCCTCCAGCTGCCCCAAATAACAAACTATGCCCACCAACTGGCTAAGCATCCTGCTACCCAAAAGACCCAGTTTCTAATCATGAGCTCAGGGAAAAGCACTAAGCCCTCTAGCCTTCACCTCCCCTTCTACAAGTCAGGAATAATAATAATTAAATATTTAGTGATAAAATCTTTCTTATCATTACGGTATTATCTCTGAAGAAAAAGACATTCTCCTGTTGGTTTCTATGAGATTTTTTTGGCAAGGATGAAGTTTCAGAGGGAAACCAGCTAAAGGTCCAGGCACCTCCAAAAAGAGCAATCCAGCTCCTCTCCTGCTCCTGCCTGCAAGCTGTTGCTGCTCCTTAGGCAATGATTTTGACATTCACCAGATCCCTCTCAGTGAGGTAACCCATGGACCTGAACCAACAGAAAATTAGTTCTCCTACAAAAAAAAAAAAAAATTGTTTTCCCATCATTTTGCTTCCTGAATCACTCCACTCTGAGCAGGGCACTGGAGGCCTGGGAGGAAGGTAGGACATGAGCTCCTGAAGCCAGAAATGAAAAGGATCAGTGGACAGCAGGATCACCCATTTTGCAGCAACGAGCTCAACTGTCATGTGAAACCCCACTCTGAGGCTTAATTAAAAGGATCGTATTTCAACTCTGTTAACTATCTTACTATTCATCAAATCATACAAGAGAGAAAAATTTCTGTAGGTGCACCAGGACAGCACTGCAACTTCTGACCTTTATTTTCATGAGGTTAAGCAAAGACCTCGGACAGCCTAAGTGGGAGAGTCCAGGAGGGCACGTTTAACAACTCAGTCTTTTCACCATGCTATGTGGAACCTACAGGCTCTTCATTCACATTTTCAGATGTTGCTTCAAATCTACATCTCCATGGATAACATTAAAAAAATCATGAACAGATAAATAGGTTATTACTAGAAACAGGGAATCTTTAGTTTAATAAATTATAACAGTAAGTGCGTTGTCTATAGAGGTCTTGACGGTATCCTTCATCTCCAACTGCTTTGAGCTACCTAATTGCTTAATTAGCATTAAGACTCACACCATTTAATGAGACAATTGTTTGTTTCGGGAGAGGGAGACTTAGACTTGTTTTGACTTTTAAGATGTAAGTAATCAGTGTTATTTGTATGAAATACTGTTTTGGTGAAGTGGGTATTTTTACTTTAATGTGATATTCAATGAAAATGATAATTCAACTTAACTATGAGGAATTGTGGTAAAATACACACATTCCATTTGGACAGGAATATCACTGCTTGTAACTACATAAATCAACCAACTCCCACACTAAAAACAGTGACTTCATACGGGCACATTCTAGTGAGGATGCAGCAATAGCAAAAGCTAAGAAACCAAATAATCTGTTCTCCCTCACTACAAACATGATGCATTATACCTAATGCTTCATGCTAATGAAAAACTTGGCAGAAGTAGCAAATGGGGTTTTTTGTTTTATTTTTATTTTTTACTAACCTGCTTAAAAAAACTGCAATATTGAGTAAGATGAGAAAAGTGGGTCAAAAGAATTAGGCAAAATACTGGAGAAACATAATACTTTTGGCCACGTTATTGGATTACACATATGATTTAACTTATCTTACACAGCTGCTCACTTACAATGCATAAAAACAACTGATGACATTCAGGAATTTGTGTAATAACCAACTTGAAGAATGCAATTAAATCATGGAGAGGTCTGTAGGTAAATTTCTTATTACATCAAATATTCTATTAAAAAATGGAACCATGGAAACGAAATTCAGTTCTCCTCCACTACAGGAAGACTTAAAGCTCTGGATCTTTACTAATGTGGAAAGGGAAGATAACAGCAAGCACTACACCTCTTCCTGTTCTTTTCTAATTAGACAGTCTACATCTGAATTTTTTGATCTCGTATGAAGCTTACACAGTGTATTAATACAACGATGTTTTGCCCTTCTGTGTGCACCAAGAGGTAGATGAACATACTAGTAACTAAGCAAAACTTAAGTGAGAGATTTCATTTATTTATAAATATGTAGCACTTATTTATAGATTTCTTATTTTCTGCATCAGTGTAAGACTGGCCTTTTTACCATGAGGGGTTCAAAACCAAGCGCTTATCTGGCATGTTGTCCTGGTTTCGGCAGGGATAGAGTTAATTTCCTTCCTAGTAGCTGGTACAGTGCTGTGCTTTGGATTTAGAATGAGAACAAAGTTGATAACACACCGATGTTTTAGTCGTTGCTAGGT